ACTATCCTCCTTAGCTCGTTGAAGTTTGCCCTCCTAAAATCTAGGGCCACCACCCGACTGCTTGCCTTTGCCACCTTGCGCTGAATGGTGAACCAACCCTTTATGGTGGGGTTTTCTTTATTCTGTGTTGTTTCTTCCCCTTCCTTAATGTTTTGGCCTTTTGAACGCTAGCCCTGCCTTCATAAAGAAGCATGTCTATTTGACAGTAACTCTCGCCCTTCTTAACACGTGGTGGAAGGCTGAGTCTCTTCCTGGCTTGATCACCACTAGTCCTTGGAAAACAGGCTTTTCCATTCATCAGCTGTCTCGCAGGAGAGTGATGAGAGAAATAGCTCTTCTGTTGGGGTGGCAGGATTGCCTGTGTTCCGGCTTTCTCTGCTTTATAAGCCCATCTGGATGCTTTATACAAAGCTGTCTTCTGGGGAATGTGCTGCTGTGCACTGTCTTCCTGAGCTGTAGCAAAATGGGCCTATACATACAGGGATAAATACAAAGGTTAACAAGGTACGTATGCATCTTGAACAGAGTGAACGCGTATATTTAGAGAGCTTTCGCTTGGTCTTGTTTTAGCATGCCAATGAAGATGTTGAGAGGATGCTGTTAGGAAACAAGTGTGACATGGAAGATAAAAGAGTTGTCCTCAAAGCAAAAGGAGAACAGGTGAGTGTCCCCCACCCCAGAACTGACTCGCTAAGGAAAATGTACCGGCATGGAGGTTCTCTGCCAGTGGGTGAAGGTGAGGTGGAATGAAATCATTTAACCCACCTTTTGTAGAGCTAATGCCGTAGTATCTCATGGGAGTTGGGCTCCCAGCAGACAAATGACACTGAACTTATTAATGTTATACATAAACCCAAGATTTTCAGGGGATTTGCTGGAGCTGTATTTTATGAATAGTTGCCACCTGAAACTGTCTACCCTTAGCATGAAATAAAGTAGTGTGTTCTGGGCATCTAACAGTCTCCTGTAAATCTTTGCTTCAGTCATTTGCCAAAGATATAGGTCCATATAATCCTGTTCTATCATGTGTCAAAATCTGCTTTTATGTGAGAGCAGATCTATCCTGTACCCTATCAATTTTGCCAGTTAGTGCCTTTAAGTTCCTATCTGCCCTACTGAAAACAAGTTGCAATGAGGTTTATAATTCACCACCACGAGAACTGTGCAAAACTCTCTCTAATTCTAACTTTGTTCTGGCTTCTTTTTCTTTAATATAGATTGCAAGGGAGCATGGTATTAGGTTTTTCGAAACTAGTGCAAAAGCAAATATAAACATTGAGAAGGCATTCCTCACATTAGCAGAAGACATTCTTCGAAAGGTAAGTGCCCATGGGATCTGGTCACAGTTGATTAATTTCAGGAAAGTTTTGCTTGTTAAAGCAAATCAAGTGCAGGTCAAAGCTAACAAGAACTACATTTATCTGAAACATTGATTTCTTTTTTTTCCTTTCCCTCCTAACTTTGTTTCCTCTTCCTCCCCTCCCCCCACCACCACATTTTACAGTTCAATGTACCACCTGTAAGATGAGCTAATGCTTCTAAGACCTGGAAACCCTTGTGTATTAATATTGTTGCTGAGCTCTTGGCAGGCCACTTAGTCTTACATACCCCAAATTCATATGACTAGGTTTGGACATGAGAAGCAATTTCTTCTATGACAGACTGGAATGGGTCTTGAAGGTTTTTTGCCACCTTGAGCATTGAGGGACATCAATCACCTTGGAATTATCTGGGTATATTATGTCTAATGAATTCCTGGCTGTTTTCAGGAGCTTGAGATTTGTTGGCATGTTGGTCTAATTTTTTGTGGTGTGTAATTTAGACTATTTTGCACTTTGTGGGATTAAATTAATTCTTTCCCAATGTAGACCAGGAGAGTCAGAATGCATCATTGCAGCCTTTTTGTGTTTTCTTGCATAACAGGCCATCAGACTTCCTGAATTCTTGTTTCAACTAGAATGTGTCTTAGAAAAAGACCTAGTTTTGACTCTCAAAATATTCAGGACTTGAGTAGCCACCTGGACCAGTGGTGAGCTGCTCCAGTGGTTAATTTCCTCAGTTAAAACTTGCATCTAATTTCTAATGTGGCTGTTTAGTTTCAACTTTTAGCTTCTGGATCTTGTTATACCTTTGTCAGCCTGGAGGAACCCTCTGTTAGTCTGTTCCCATGATCAAGTCACCCCTTAGCATTCTCAGTAAACTAAATAGATTGAGTCTGTTACTGTAAGGCTTGTTTTCCACTCCTTAAAATATTTGAGGTTCTTCACAGGAACAAGTCTGGAAGGAGTCTAGTAGGCCAGTGGGAGCCTCTGGCCTGTAAAAGCCTTGAAATTGCCAGACACCTTCCACACTGAATTCTCTACTCGGGGCATCCTGATTTGTGCCAGTAAGCAGTCTGTTTTGGCCCCACCTCTGATGTGGTTAGTACCAGGACCATGAGGTACCCAACCATTGTTCTCCATTTACATTTTCATTCTGACTGAATTCTGAGGCAATGTATTTGTTCAATTCTCGGACCTACTAAGTTGTCCTGGAGCGTCATTATATAGAGGCCCCACTTCTCTCCTGGTTCTCTCAATTTATGACACACGAAGTTTTCACCACTTAAGTAATTTTTTGCTCCAGAGCTCAGCTCAGCCGTGGTACATTCTCATTTTCTACATTCTCTGACCCTTGAAAAGCTCAGTCCTTAGTGACCAGTCACTCTTTCCAGTTACATGTATATCTTCTGCTTTTTCTTAATACCCCTGTGAAGTGTGTCATTCATTTATGAAGGTCTGCATGATCTTTTTCTCCTTGCTTGGGGCGCAAACTCATGATAGTATTTGTACTTTTGCCTTAGATGTAGAAGCAGTGTGGAATTACTTTGTCCTTAGCTGTCAAATCCAGTCAGCTCCTTAATTTCCTTAAAAGTTAGGCTTTCTGAAGAGCCTTGTTTTTGTGGACTTAGTGTTCCTACTGTAATTTACACTAGGATCAGCTTACTTGATCCCCGATTATTTACAGCTAGCCCCTCTATAAATTCCTCTCTACTTGCCAAAATTCAATCCAAGATAGCTTTACCTCTTGTTGGTATGCTGACTGTTTGCTAGATTTCTCTATCGGGTAACTTATCCAAAAAGTGTGTGCCCTACCATTATTTAGTAGGCTTTTATTACCCAGCCAGTCAGAGAAATTGCAGTCTCCTGAAATTGCATAATTACTGCCATTAGTGCTGCACAGAAGGCATAGCCCAACTGCAGGGTTTGATGCTGACACCTACAGTGCAATCCAAAGGCAAGACAGTGTAGTCTTAAAACAAGCAAACAACAAAAATAAAAGCCCTGAAAACTTGTAGGTAATAAACCACAAGAAGTTTATATGCAGCATGTCTGGTCTACAGCTTTTCAGTTTTCGCTTGGCTATTTTCATATAATCATAGCAAATGAAGGTTGGAAGGCAGCTCAGGAGGTCACTTGTAGTCCAACTCCCTGCTACATCATCCGAGCCAAAGCTTTGATCATGTTGCCTTCCATAATAGTTATACTCTTTAGCACTCTTCCTAGAAGTTTCTTTCCTCTCTAAGTGTGCTTGTCAGGCCAGGCCTCTCTTACCATGTAAACCAGAACAGCCTGTTCCCCTGGTTGCGTTATCAGCAACTAAACCTGAACCCCCACCTATGCTAGCCTGGGTGAGGAGGATGTGTGGACACCCAGGAGGTCTAAAAACAAGACCTGTCAAAGGGTAGAGGAGCTTCCTGTGAGCCAACAGCCATCCCTACCCAGGGAGGAGATGGACGCTACCAGGTCTTTCTGCCCAAAGAATCACCAATGGTGCAAAGAAACTCAGCTAACCTAGGAGGGTTGTTACAGCATCTTAGGTGCCCTGATGGTGGCAGCAGCCTTGGGACTGATGCATCGCGACTCCCTTGGCTGGAGGCCATCAGTTATTGCTATGGCCAGTGTACTCTGTTCCTAGACAAAAGACACTTTGTCCTGTGATTGCTCTGTCAGTAACTTGTCCTCATTTATTTATGACTCCACTAGTCTGTCACCTGGAGACATTGATAATGATTTTATTTTCTTTCAGGTAAGCTGACAAAAGGAAAATAGTAGGATTTAGGACCCAACCAAATACACACATGCTCAGTGATTTGTTCTTAGCCAGTTTTAATAAGCCTTACAGGGATATCTGGGTGAAACTAATAGCCTGTGATGCATGGACAGTTGATTTAGATGCTCCCAATGGTCCTTCTGGCCTTACTTACCAGCTCTGTAGAGAAACCTTTTGCCACTCTGAACCTCAGTTTCCCTTCATCTGAACAATTTGGGACAGTTTTTCATGGGGCACTGTGGCAAGGGAGAGCAAGAAACAGGTAGCTGTGACCCTGTAAATTGCAACGTGAGTGGATCACTTAGATCAGGTTGTAAGCAGCTGAAAACATAAGTTCATGTCTGATTGAGACCACTTGAGCTTATTATCCCTGTGGTTTAACCACTTGCATCCTGTGACACAAGCAAGCCTGCTTTGTGCACTTTCTCAGAAATAATTTGGTGTGGTAACCAACTGAAAAGTAGATCCTGCTGAACAGACATGCAAGTGCTGCACAGAAGGCATAGCCCAGCTGCAGGGTTTGATGCTGACACCTACAGTGCAATCCAAAGGCAAGACAGTGTAGTCTTAAAACAAGCAAACAACAAAAATAAAAGCCCTGAAAACTTGTAGGTAATGAACCACAAGAAGTTCATATGCAGCATATCTGGTCTACAGCTTTTCAGTTCTCCCTTGGCTATTTTCATATAATCATAGCAAATGAGGGTTGGAAGGCAGCTCAGGAGGTTGCATCTAATCCAGCCCCCTGCTCAAAGCAGGACCAGCCCCAACTATATCATCCCAGCCAAGGCTTTGTCTACTTGGGCTTAAACACCTCCAAGGATGGAGACTCCACCACCTCTTGGGGGAGCCTGGTCCAGTGCTTCACCACCCTTCTCATGAGAAAATTCTTCCTAATATCCAATGTCAACTTCCCTTGCTGCAACTTGAGCCCATTGTTCCTTGTCCTGTCATCTGC